TAATGATCTTATGACCACCCAGTTATGGTCTGAGATATCATCCATGTGATCTTGAGCAAGCCACTTAACCCTTTTGTGTCTTGATTCTTCACCTATTAACTTCAGACACTAGTACCTCTTCTCTTTTTTTTAAAAAAGTTCCAGGATCCACGTTCAGGACGTGTAGGTTTGTTACATACTAAAAGTGTGCCACGATGGTTTGCTGCGCCTCTCAACCCAGCACCTAGGTATTAAGCCCTGCAGGCATTAGCTATTTATCCTGAAGCTCTCCCTCCCACCCTGCCACCCACCAGCGGGCTCCAGTGTGTGATGTTCCCCTCCCTGTGTCCATGTGTTCTCATTGTTCAGCTCCCACTTATCAGTGAGAACATGTGTTTGGTTTTCTGTTCCTGTGTTAGTTTGCTGAGGATAATGGCTTCTAGCTCAAACCATGTCCCTGCAAAAGACATGATCTCATTCCTTTTTATGGCTGCATAGTATTCCATGGTGTATGTGTACCACATTTTCTGTACCCAGTCTATCATTGAAGAACTGGGTTGATTCCATGTCTTTGCTATTGTGAATAGTACTGCAATGAACATATGCATGCATGTATCTTTAAAAGAGAATGATTTATATTCCTTTGGACATATGCCCAGTAATGGGATTGCTGGGTCAAATGATATTTCTGGTTCTAGGTCTTTGAGGAATTGCCACACTGTCTTCCACAATGGCCAAACTAATTTACATTCCCACCAACAGTGTAAAAGCATTCATATTTCTCTACAGCCTTGCTGGCATCTGTTGTTTCTTGACTTTTTAATTGCCATTCTGCTTGGCATGAGATGGTATCTCATTGTGGTTTTGATTTGTGTTTCTCTAATGATCAGTGATGTTGATATTTTTTCATATGTTTCTTGGCTGCATAAATGTCTTCTTTCATGAAGTGTCTGTTCATGTCCTTTGCCCACTTTTTAATGGAGTTGTTTTTTTCCTATAAATTTAAGTTCCTTGTAGATTTGCATATTACACCTTTGTCAGATGGATAGATTGCAAAATTTTTCTCCCATTCTGTAGGTTGTCTGTTCATTTTGAAGACAGTTTCTTTTGCTGTGCAGAAGCTCTTTAGTTTAATTAGATCCCATTAGTCAATTTTTGCTTTTGTTGCAATTGCTTTTGATGTTTTTGTCATGAAGTCTTTGCCCATGCCTATTTCCTGAGTGGTATTGCCTAGATTTTCTTCTAGGATTTTTATAGTTTTGGGTTTTATAGTTAAGTCTTTAATCCATCTTGAGTTAATTTTTGTATAAGGTGTAAGGAAGGGGTCCAGTTTCAATTTTCCGCATATGGCTAACCAGTTTTCCCAGCACCATTTATTAAATAGGGAATCCTTTCCCCATTGCTTGTTTTTGTCATGTTTGTCGAAAATCAGATGGTTGTAAATGTGCAGTCTTATTTCTGAGATCTCCATTCTGTTCCATTGGTTTATGTGTCTGTTTTTGTACCGGTACCATGTTGTTTTGGTTACTGTAGTATAGTTTGAAGTTAGGTAGCGTGATGCTACTTTGTTCTTTTTGCTTAGGATTGTCTTGGCTATATGGGCTCTTTTTTAGTTCCACATGAATTTTAATGTAGTCTTTTTAAAATTCTGTGAAGAATGTCAATGGTAGCTTAATGGGAAAAAGCATTGAATCTATAAATTGCTTTGGGCAGTATGGCTATTTTCGTGATATTGATTCTTCCTATCCATGAGGTTGGAATGTTTTTCCATTTGTTTGTGTCCTCTCTGACTTCCTTGAGCAGTAGTTTGTAGTTCTCCTTGAAGAGGTCCTTCACACACCTTGTAAGTTGTATTCCTAGGTATTTCATTCTCTTTGTAGCAACTGTGAATGGCAGTTCATTCATGATTTGGCTCTCTGCTTGTCTACTGTTGGTGTATAAGAATGCTTGTGATTTTTGCACATTGATTTTGTATCCTGAGATTTTGCTGAAGTTGCTTATCAGCTTAAGAAGCTTTTGGGCTGAGACAATGGGGTTTTCTAGATATAAAATCATGGCATCTGCAAACAGAGACCGTTTGACTTACTCTCTTCCTATTGAATAACCTTTATTTCTTCCTTTTGCCTTATTTCTCTGGCCAGAACTTCCAATACTATGTTGAATAGGAGTGGTGAGGGAGGGCATCCTTGCCTTGTGCTGGGAAGGCTTCCAGCTTTTGCCTGTTCAGTATGATATTGGCTGTGGGTTTGTCATAAATGGCTCTTATTATTTTGAGGTATGTTCCATCAATACCTAGTTTATTGAGAGTTTTTAACATGAAGGGATGTTGAATTTTATTGAAGGCCTTTTCTGCATCTATTGAGATAATCATGTGGTTTTTGTCTTTAGTTCTATTTATGTGATGAATTACGTTTATTGATTTGCATATGTTGAACCAGCCTTGCATCCTGGGGATGAAGCCGACTTGATTGTGGCGGATAAGGTTTTTGATGTGCTGCTGGATTCAGTTTGCCAGTATTTTATTGAGGATTTTTGCACTGATGTTCATCAGGGGTACTGGCCTGAAGTTTTCTTTTTTTGTTGTATCTGCCAGGTTTTGGTATCAGGACAATGCTGCCCTCATAAAATGAGTTACGGAAAAGTCCCTCCTTTTCAATTGTTTGGAATAGTTTCAGAAGAAACGGTACCAGCTCCTCTTGGTACCTCTGGTAGAATTCAGCTGTAAATCCATCTGGTCCTGGGCTTTTTTTGGTTTGTAGGCTATTTATTACTGCCTCAATTTCAGAACTTGTTATTGGTCTATTCAGGGATTTGACTTCTTCCTGGTTCAGTCTTGGGAGGGGGTGTGTGTCCAGGAATTTATTCATTTCATCTAGATTTTCTAGCTTATTTGCACAGAGGTGTTTACAGTATACTCTGATGGTTGGTTGTATTTCTGTGGGGTCAGTGGTGATAGCCCCTTTATCATTTTTTATTGACTAGCACCTCTTTTCAGGGAGGTTGTGAGGAGAATGGAAATACGTATCAAGTACCAAGTCCAGGGCCTGATACAAGGCAAGTTTCAGTAGGAGGTGGTAATGCTGTAAAGGTGGTGGGAGCAGTTGGGTTATTATTGGACAGCTTTTATCTGCATAGGATAGTTTTTATCTGCAGTGTTTTATACAAATGGGGCAGGGTTAGTGAACACTGCAGAGCCCCAAGCAAAAAGTGCCATAGACAGTTTTGTGGGGGACATGAAGGCCTGTTCCTCTCGGCCACCCCTCTGCCCTCTGGCTCAGGAAGCATTAAGTAATCAGGGGGTAATGCCTGGAAAATGACATAACAGTTGGCTTCTAGAGAAGGGGTCTAGGAAGACGGAAGAAAGTGAAGACAGGGAGCCATCAGGGAAATGCTCAGAGGCCTTGGGGTTGAGGCCAATAGGAACTTTTGTTCAATGAAGTCTCATCAAAAGGGTTCTTTCCTACTGGAATTATAGTGCTCTATTGATTCAATAGATCTTTTCAAAAGAATAAAAATCCATAAAATAGACATCTGACAAACTGAATCAATATAGCTTTAAATAAATGAAAACAAAAACAGAATATACAATCCAAAGAGGTTGGGGACTCTGGGGGCAGGGAGAGAGCACCTAAGGCAGTTAAGCTTTGCACAGGTGATTCTTGCAACACTACCGGGTGTGGCAGGGGTCATGCTCCCCATTTTGCAGGTGAGAAAACAGAAGCTTAACAAGTGTAGTTAAGATGCCTGCCAATATCATCCAACCCCAGTGCCACTAGAGCCCAGCCCCGTGGATGAGACCCTGTGGTCTTGTTGCTGTTAGCCTCCTTTACTTGGAACTTTTTATTTTGCAAGAGCCTAACAGTTGCCTTCTTCCAAAACAGGACTTGAATTCTGGAATTCAAAAATGCTTTTCTCTGGGTAATTGTAAGATGAGCCTCATGATGTTTGCTAGAGTCAGGCCAATGTGGTGGTAGGGTGGGGTGTGGCAGGAGAAGTGGTTCAGGGACACAGCCCTCACTGTCAGGAAATCAAGGGCATAAATCAAGTCAGAGGTCATTTTTGCAAATAGAGGCAAGTTCCAACATCTAAGGCTCATTGCTTTTTCCAGTTTTCTTCTGCAGCTGTGACTTCAACTGGCACATGTTTTTAATCAGTCATATGAAAACCGATTGTGGTCTGAAAATCAAAGCAGTCCTGTAAATAGTGTAAGACAAGTCCTGCTAATCATGCCTCGTGGTCTTGCCTTGTCCTTATTGTCCTGAACCGCCACTGTAAATTCTGACTCACTTGGGGTTACTCGCCTCGTGTCAAAGGGCCTCGTGTCAAAGGGTCATCCTCACAACAGGCTGGCTACAAAGAGACCTGCTTCTGTTTCAATGCCCTTACCCCCTAACCCTCCAAAGGCCCCTGTGACAACTGCCATCCAACTGGGTGCCTTGGTGAGTGAGTGACTGGCACGATGGGAGCTTGTTTTGTAATTATGCCCGGGGCGATGGCAGCCTGGCTCTCGGGTGTGGGCTTTAGGAACAAACAAGTGCTTGTAAATGGCTCACCTACACAGTCAATCTTGCTAAATGCGCCAACCCCTGAGCATGCCTGGTTTGTTTTCAGGGGGTCTAAGCTTGCAAAACAAGGAAATTAACAAACTTGAGATGCAAAGGCTTGATATTGCAGCGAGAACACAGTATCACATGCTCACAGCTTCAGGCAGAGGCCCTTGCCCTCAGCTGGAATCAATCTCCCCTCTACTCGATTCCACAGCACGCTGGGCCTCCAACCTCGGGCTGAGCTATGTCTGCCTTGTGTTTGAGATGTTTAGATTGGTGTCTAGACTACAATTTATACAGCTCGGCTTCCTCGCCTGCGAGAAGGCTGACTGTGGTCTCAGTATGTGTTGAATTAAATCAAATGCCGTTTTAGGAGGACTTCAACAACAACTGACTGAAATCCATTTCTAGACATCAAAGTATTGGGATGGATTCTGGTTCCTGCTAAATCACAGGGTATTTTTAAATACTTACCAAAGTGATCAAAATTACTGAGCAGTTCTCTCTCCCTCTGAGGCCCTCCAAGGAGGCCCTCTGGAGCTTGGCCCGTTCCTCTGGGGCTGGAGCAGCTTGCAGCCAGTTTTTGCAACTGCAAAGGCCAGGACTTGCTCCCACGGGCTGCAGGCATCTCTGCTCCCTTGGCATCCCCTGGTGCAGCAGATGAGAAGGAGGAGGAGAAGGGAGGGCCAGCTGGCTAAATGGAGGGAGGGACAGGGTAGTCCTCATGGGCTCCTGAGCCTCCGCCGGCCATGGGACCAGCTTCCTTCTCTGGTGTTCATCGCAGATGTGTGCACACATCTACACATACCAACTATTCTCTCACACCCTGGGAGAAGCTCTGTGAGGGCAAGGCCCATGGGTCATATTCATCCATCTTTGCATCCCCAGCCTGGAATATAGTGTCCAACACACACCAGCTCAATAAATATTTCTCAAATGCAAGCATTTAGCTTACTTAAGATATACTTTAGAATGACAGAACGTTGTAATAGAAGGAAAAAGGAAACCACCGAGGTCAAACATTACAGGGAAGGGGAAGGGGAGACTAAGGGCGGGAGGTTAGGATGGTTCCTGTGGCACTGCATATCCTAATGATACGTTAGCATAAGTCATCCCTGTAAGTGCCTAGAGGGCAGAATTTGGGGATGGTTCACCCTTAGTGCCCTTGGTGCTTACCTTGTCAGAAGCTCCTAGCAGGTGAATGTCAATTTGGTGCTAAATGAATGCCTGTTTGCCCAGGGGGTTGACCTGAGGCCCCAGAGCTAGTAGGAGGAGTGTGAGCCAGTCCTCTCCATCCCCCTCCCTCTCGGACTGCCGTGCCCATCATAACCTGCTTGATGAGAGGCAGGAATGGCTGTGTGGCACTGAGAAAGGCTGGGAGGATGGGTGCACCTGGCTGGGCCGGGGCTGGGAACGAGGCCAGGTGGTGGGTGTGGGGGGCTAAGGAATGCGCTGCTGCCTGGGGCCTGGGAACCCAGAGAAGAGCCCCAGCCCTGGATTTATCTTGTCTCCCCATCTGCACCTGCCTGGTATGCCCAGATAGTGAGTCCTCTGCTCACTCTGCCCAGGGCTGTAGGAGCAGGCACTCAGCACAGGCCATGATGTGCTGATGGCCACGTGGCTGCCTGGGGTGGGGTGCAGGGAGCTCGCCACAGTCCCAGCCAGGAGGAGGGCTACTCACGCAGCTCACCTGCGGGGAGAAGTGGGCCACCTGTCCGATGGTGGTGAGTCACCACCAAGGTCACAGATTACCCTCCACTTCTTAGTCATCGAAAGGTGAAAAACCAAAGGGTGGCCCTCAAAGAGGAAGTGCCCAGGGACCCAGCAGAGCTGACCCTGGAATGTGGGTCCAGGCCCCAAGTCACACCCCAGCTGCGACAGTGCTCCGAGGTTTGTGCGCGGCACGGCCAGGCATCAGCCTCCACAGCAAAGTACCAGACTCCCAAAGGAAGGCCTGAGGAACACTTAGGAGACCAACTCCTTGGGGCCGCTAACCTTCCCTCCCCTGACGCTCTCTAGGGCTTTGAAGTGTTATTTGCCTGGTTATAAGTTCAGTTTCTTTCACCAGATCTCAGCATCCAGAGGCCAGAGCTCATGGCTTCCACAGGTGCTCAGTCTCTGCATGCTGGCTTTTGGGCACAGATTTTGGTCACCCAGCACTCTGGGACATTCACCCCCCTGGCTGGGTGTTTGAGGATGTGGGGGAGGGGCAGCAAGATGGCCATGGTCCCTCCTCTCTTCACCCTCATCCCCCTGACAGGTAAAATCACACCCCCAGACACCTGGCTCTCTGGGCTTCAGACAGAAAAGCAGCAATTCCCAAAGAAGAAAGTACTCAATGGGAGAGGGTGTCCAAACTCCACTCCCTGCTGGGGTACAGTGGCCTTCTAGAGACAGTGGCCTTTGGTAACAAGAGTAATCCTCACAGCAGGAACTTCAGGTGGGCTCTGCTGGGGTAGGGTGTGGGGAAGTTCCATGCAGGCTGGCAGGGAGCAGAATGTCTGGCTGGAGGGGCCTTAGGAGTCTTCTGCAATCATGCAGTAGAGAGGCTGGGGAGAAGCACAGGAGGAGGAGATGCACTTGCTCTGGCTGGGCCGCAGGGCTCACTCCACACTGCACCAGCACGGGCCCTGCACGTGCTGACAGCAGGTAGCTCTGTGGCCCCAGGCTCCAGGTACAGAGAGGGAGGGAGGGAAGGAAAGGAAGGGCATATATGCAACCTGGATGAATGATACCCACACGTGGTGTAAAGTACGCTTGTTCAAACAGTGGGTTGCAAAATCCATTTCGTGGGTTCTGAGCAGCATTAAAATAAAGTGAAATAAAATCAGGGTGCACTGTATGTGGCACTTTTGTTTTAGTTATATATACTGGATTCAAATGTAAAATATCTTGTGGATTGTGGTTAAAAAAAAAAAGGCTGGAAGCCATGAGTATAAGGAAAGGGAGGCAACTACTACATGCCAGATATCATGCTACTTGTTTTCATGTATATTATTTTATATTTACTCCTTCTAACAGGCCTACTACCAGGCAGGTGATTCTATTTTTGCCAAAAATAAATCTATGACCAGAGATGGAAAGTAAGTTTTCTTTTCTTTTTTGAGATTAAGGTCTCTCTCTCTGCACTCTGTCACCCAGGCTGGAGTGTGGTGGTGCGATATTGGCTCACTGCAGCCTCGACCTCCAAGGCTCAAGTGATCCTCCTGCCTCAGCCTCCCGAGTAGCTAGGACTATAGGAGTGCACCACCATGCCCAGCTAATTAATTTTTTTTTTTTTTTTTTCAGAGATGGGGTTTCACTATGTTACGGGTCTCACTATGTTGCCTAGGCTGGTCTCAAACTCCTGAGCTCAAGTGATCCTCCTGCCTTAGCCTTCCAAAGTTCTGAAATTATAGGTGTGAGCCACCATGCCTGCCCCAAAGTAACTTTTCTAAGATCACACAGCTAATAGGTGGCAATGCTAGTTAGGAATCCAGAGCTGTTTGACTTCAAAGGGCACATTCTTCCCATGCCACCATGATTTCCAGTGGAAAGTGTACTGTCCACTGAGTCGGGAGCTTTGGGTTCTGTCCCTGGCTCTGCCGTATAATGGTGAATAACTGCTGTTTTCTCATCTATGCAGTAAGGGAGTAAGATAAATAATTTCTAAAATTTTTTGATTTCATCCACTCTCCCATCCCAAACCTTATTGTGGCAGTATTTTAGTCTCCCCCTTTAAACCTTTCCTAGAGCTGCCAACAGCTCAGTAATGAATTTCGAGGGCTACTTACTGCCAAGCCCCATTGCACCTACATTTGTTCTACAAAACCCCCTAAATGGCCCTATCTCTGGTAGCTCTGTGTGTCTGCAGGTATTGACTGGTGCTGTTAGCTCTTATCTAGGGACCTGCATTGTGTAGCTTTTCAGCAGAATTATGACTGTGATGACAAGAGACCAAAGGGATGACCTCGACCTCCCTCTCACGGGCCCATGTGGTTCTTGGAAGGGCTGGGGCATCCTAATGAAGAATGAAGGCTACTCTGAGTGTCTGGGGAAGGAAAAGAAGTGCAAGAAGCAGAGTACATGCAGTCCACCCAGGTGACATGTGAGGGACCACAAATGTTCTCCAAATAATGAGCCCCAGAAGAGCAAAGGAAGCCCAGAAGGTTCCTGTAACATAAAGATCATCTTAAAACTCCCTAGGGTTGATGAGGAGTAGTATCTCTGTGAAGTGCTGTCACAGGGGAGGTGTCACAATCCCGCACAGTCAAACTGCGGACTTGGCACGGGGAGCTTGAGCTGTGATTCCAGCTCTGCTTTTCTCTGCTATGCCACTTTGGAGAAGCCACTTCACCTCCCTGTACCCCAGGGATGCCTCATCTGCAAAGTGAGGGGATGGTTCCTGAGGTCACTGCTCGGTCTAATATACTATTATCCATTACTATTATTTCTGCTTTGGTATTAATCCAACCACTTTAGCCAGAGACAGTTTCTTAAGTGGAAGCAGTAATTTAACAAATGACCTCTCCCGGTGCTTTGCTGGAGGGGTTTCCCTCAAGAGCCTCCATAAGCATCATCAGAGGTGCTGCACAGGTCTGAGCCGTCTATCTCCCCTTTGTCTCCAGATCTGACTTAGGACCCCAAGAATGCTGGCCAATATCCATCCTGCTCATGTTCCTTCCACCCTTCAAATCAGCAGACAACTAAACATTCACACGTTCATGGGCCACTCCTGTGCTAGTCATGGGCTGGTTCCTGCAGGGCTAAGGGGCTGCATTTGGGCAGGGCCCTGGCCCTCCGGGCACACACAGCTTGACTCCCAGAGCAGAGAGAGCTGCATGCTAACCCTGGATGAGAGTGGGGAGCTCTGCTTTCACAGCCACAGGCTGAGCCCTCCCTGGCCTGCCCCTTCTTACTGCTATTGCTTTGGAAGAACAGGAGCAAACTTCCTGCCTTGGGCTGGCTTTCTTTTCTGCTCAGAGCTATGTGGGGGCATTATCTAGCAGGCCAGACGTCTAGCCCCTTTAATGACAATAATGATAATTTACATTTATACAAGGCCTTTCATTGGGGGATTTTAATTGCATCGCAAACAATAATTAATTCCCCTTAGCGAGGCTGGCAGCCAGCTAAGCAGGAGCCCCTTTACTCTGCAGGTCAGGGGTGCTTTCCTGGGCCTGCAACATGCTGGGGGTCTCCCACCTACCTGACACCTCCCCACCCTCAAGGCCTGGCCTAAGCATCGGGGCCTGGGGCCGCCAACTACAGTCCATGACTGTTTGTCCTGCCCCTGAAGCTCCACAACATCAAGTGTTGAGCCACTCATTTGGTGCTAACCAGAGAACCTTGCTATTGGGCGAGACTCAGGATCTTGTCCAAGGCAGTAGCACTCCTCGGGGGTGATCCTCGGCCGCTGCCAGAACACCTTTCATGATAGAGAGCGCGCTGCTTAAAGGCGCCTCTGAGAGTTACAGGGTTCATCTCTCTCCGGAACTGGAATCTATCCCCTCGAAACTTCTGCCCATGGGTGCCAGCTCTGCTCTCTGGAATGAAGCAATCCTACATAACTGTCTGGGGTTGCTGGTTGAAGTTTCTGGTACGTAAGTTGTCTACTTCTGTGGTCACCCTTGGGCGGAGCTTGGTGGCTTATACTTCACTGAAGTTCAGGGACACTTGTCAACTGAGTGGTAGGGGCAGCCGGAAGCTCCATCA